TCGCTGGTGGCGAGCGGCTCCCCTCCCGCCGCCCTCAGCTGAAGTCGTTGCCGCCCCTGTTGCTGCTACCCCTGCCCAGCCCACGCCTGCGCCGCCTACACTGCCTGCCGCCGCCGCCGCCGCTGCCGCCGCCGCCGCTGCCGCCGCCGCCGCTGCTGCCGCCGCCATGCCCATCGCCCGGCCGCACGCACGCCGGCCCGCCAGCCCGCCGCCAGCCAGCCAGCCAGCCAGCCAGCCCCCACAGCCCGTATGCCAGCCGTGCCCTGCCGCGCCGCCGCCGCCGCCCACCACCACCACCATGCCTGCGCCCACGCCCACGCCGCCTGCCGCCGCACAGCCCGCCGCCGCACAGCCCGCGCCTGCCGCTGCCGCCGCGCCCCCTGCCGCCGCGCCCCCCTCTGCCTCCTCCCCCGCCCGCCTGGACCCGCAGGAGGCTGAGGAGTGGTGCACCATGGAAGGCGTCATCGATCAGCGGGGCAGGGGGAGTGGCACGCGGTACCTGTGCCGGTTTGAGGGGTATGGCGCGGATGACGACATGTGGCTGCCGGCCAGCCAGATCACGGAGGTGGCGATGGCAGCGTGGCGGAGTGGCGGGCAGCGGGAGTGGCGCCAGCGGGTGGCCAGCCAGCCAGCCAGTCAGCCTGTTACCTTGAGTGGCGGCTGCCCCGCCTCGGGGGAGGAGCCCGCCCCTGGTGCTGCCCATGTGCGGCGCAGCAGGCGGCGAGTGTGACAGCCGTCAGGGGCCCGCTAGGGGGTTGGGAGCCAGGCGGGCGCCGCTGTGCTATTGCTGAACACACGCGGCTTCCTGGCCCATGACACAGCCGCGGTAGCAGCCTTGCTGCCTGCTGCGCCAAGTGATGTGCTCCTGTTCACTGAGACACACCACTTGCCGGGCGCCACCCCACCCAGCCTGCAGGGCTACTCGCTTGTGAACCACCGACCAGGGACCCCCTGCTCGACGGGCAGGGGACGCGGCGGCGTGGCCATCTACGCCCGCAGCTCTCTGGTGGGTCGGGTCCAGCAGTGGCACAGCTGGGAGGGAGTGGCTTGGATTCAGATCCGGGGGGAGGCTGGCCCCCCGCGATACGTGGCGAGTGTGTACCTGCCGCCACAGCGGACCAGCGAGCAGCTGGCTGCATTTTATGGGAGATTGCAGCAGGATGTCCTCGCTGCACAGGCGGCTGGCGGCACGGTATGCATTGGGGGGGACCTCAATGGCCGCACCTCCAGCCTGCCAGACTGGGTGGAGAGTGAGGAGGGGCGCACTCTCCTAGACCGCTGCGTTGCGCTGCCCTCCCGCGCTAGCTGCGACGGGGAGGTAAACCCCCAGGGGCGGGCGCTCCTGGGTTTCTGCGCTGCCACGGGCCTGGCTATCGCCAATGGGCGCCTAGATGTTGACCAGCAAGGGGAGTGGACGTTCCACTCCCTGGCACATGCCGGGAAGAGCCTGGTGGACTACTTCCTGTTGAGCGGGGAGGTGGTGGGCCGGGCTGGGAACAGGCTGCTGGTGCAGCCCCCAGCAGATCGATTCGACCACGCCACCCTGCGCCTGCAGCTAGCGGGTGATTCCCAGGCTGCGGGTGCAGGGCCCTGCCCCGCCGAGGGGCTGGGGCCGAACCCGTGCGGTCCGGAGTACCGCTTTGTCCCCTCGTTGCTCCCGGCATTTGTGGATGCACTGCGGGGGGCGAGACCCGCACTTGAGGCAGCGGCGACCGCCGCCGCTGCCGCCACCTCCATCGAGCAGCTCACTGCAGCATGCATGAGCTTTGATGGGGTAGTGACCAGCTCCCTAGATACCGCTGGTATGCCAGTCCGGCAGGCGGGCCCTGCCCGACCGCCAGGCTGGCAGCGACAGGCATGCAAGGACCCGCTCACTTCCCGTCTCCGCCGGAGGAGACGGCGGGCCCTGAGCCGTCGTGACTTCACCCTGGGCTGTTGCACTCAACCCGCCA